CTGATATCTCAAAACGAATAAAACACCTACAAGGTGTCCTATTTTCAACGAATCAAATAAGGTAAGGGACCTCAAATTTAAATAAGATTAACTAGATAGATTTTATATACAACCACGTTTGTATTTTTGATTTTACACGACTGTCAAAAAAGAGTGTAATGTTTTCATGGTTCATGTGTATGTACAATATTTTATTCCACTATAACTTCTAAATGCCTGGGCTGATTTCGATATATGTAGTATCGTTAGAATCCATTCATCATCCCGGGTGACATAGAATAACTAAACTATTAAATTTCAAATAACAACTATGGGACAATGTCAATTATTGAGGACAAAGAAAATAAAGTCTTCTAATTATTACATTACAGGTATGATTTGAAAGATTTTAATGTCTCAAATATAAATTACTAATTGCGCGTGGTCTGCTTGGTCCGCGGGTAGTAACTATTTCCGTGATAGCTTCCCTAGGGATTCAATTTATTTGAAAACAATATAAATTGAAATCTGAAAGTTCACGTAGTCGCCGAAACTTCCATTTTGTAATTATATCTTTACCGGTAGGGCATATTATGCAAATGTATTTAAACGATCTCCAACACATCTGAGCCGCTCATGTCATGACACTAATCTCTTCTTAGATTTCGAAAACTTGTATATTATTTCTGACTCGAATTTATAAATGTAATATGCGAAAGATTTGTCTCCTCAGCCTTTATAAGTTATGACTCATAATATCAAAGGACTTCGTTCCTTACAAATACTTAAAATTTAAATATTATAAGTCAAAATAGACTGTAGATGCAGATTCCATGGTGAACTTTGACTTAATGCTGAAAAAAAAAAAGAATTAGACAACGAAGTGGTTGGTTCATATACAAGTTATTAACCAAAATTTGCAATGGCCGGTCTTAGGATATGTGACCAATAATGTATTACTTGACTCGGACTTCGTAAGGAACGTTGGTCCCAGCTGCCGTGTCGTTAAGTCAGGTTAGGACCCACTGGGGGCGATATTCGGCAACGGATTACCGCAACATCACCCGCACGCACGGCACGCACTCTGGGGACTTCGATCCTCAGAGTGCGTGTCGGTCGAACGGTGCAGGAGTATTGTCTGGTTTTTACTGACACTTGGACAGGGCGTTAGGTAGGGCCCTGCTCTTTTCTTCGGGACTTACGGCTGGCTGAAATGAGCAGGAAGGAGTCCCAAATACCTTCCTCTCGCTCCCCCGGTTATGGAAGGATACGTTAAGCATTTCCCAAACAAAAACAAAGGTAATGACCCATTGGAGAGATCAGCATGGTAGAAGATTGCCTATTTTCCCTATTTATTTTCTACTTTTCTATTGATGTTTTTTCATTATTGGTCACCCATCCTAAGACCGGACATTGCGACCGGTACTTGTTATTATCATCAGTTTATAAATGCTGATGATAATTATAAGTAGTTTAATTTTATCCACTTGCAGAGCAGTTTCGGAAACAATGGAGCAAACAAATAAACGATGGAGCGGCAGTCAACACGTATACCTATAAAAACCTGTGAAGCTACATAGGTACATAACAATCAGTCAACAGATGACGACTGATTGCTGATTGGATCATTTAAATAAAATAATAATTTTGAGGATATAATAATTTATTATGTGCTGACTTTAGAATGACTCAATGCAGGAATCCTTATCGAACAGATATAATCACATATAGATATTAGATGACACATAACGGTGTCTATTAATAATAAAGGATTTTGCGAGTTTAATTTAATTTATTATCCCTTTTGTGCTGGGGTATCTGTAATGGAACTGTTATTTTTTCTATTAAATTACATTTTAATTAAAATCGAATCCTCATTAATAAATATATTTCCCTTTACTAAACGTAACTAGCCGGGTTTTTTTTTTCTTTACATCTAATACTTTAAATATTCTTTTGGTCGTCTGAAATGAGTGCGGCAATCCCTTTGAGTTTCTCTCTCTTTCCTTCTGCCTTACCTACGAGAGCGTTCATCTTTTTCTTTTTAATTTAGTTTAGACGAAACAGGTCATAAGTCGAAATGACATTTTCAACAATGCGGTCGAAATGTTTTCGTATGGTAATGATTTATGTGTACAAACGTCATTGGCATTTGCTTTTTGGAACCGCTTGCGTTGTTATTTACGAGTACTTATAGCACCATTCTGTAAAGAAACCCTTCACTCGCAGAAGGAACAATGGTATATTTAATTTAATGAATAAGTACCTCATATTCGCAATTTATGTTCCATGAATCTTAGATCCTAGAATTTGTATATGCACAGCTTATTTTGGATTGACATCTAATTCAATATATTTATTGTGCAATAATTTTTTTTAGAGTGACCACTTAACAGTTTAAACAAAACTTAAAGGTGTTTTTTAAGAGTTACCATTTCGTTAATTTAGATGTGGTAGAAAAACCATGATGACTACTAATTCAGCTGACCACCAACTGCAACGACTTAGAAGAATACCATCAGGAGATATATTCCAGAAGAATGAAAGATTTAGGTCGAAGATGGTATCACAGCGAAATTTTCCCATCCAGCGTGGTTAAAGCATCTTAAAGTTAGTAAGCCTCATTCTCTTATCAAATAACAAAAATCCCATTGTTAATTATTAAATAAATACTACTCATGACTCGGGACACTGTTAGGGAATTGCGAATATATCTTATGTGCACCATGCTCAGCTTAAAGCCGGTTTGAAATAATCAAAAGAAATACAGTATTTCCAAAAGGCAATTTTACACTGTGATCAGAAGTGAAGGTTGCTTCCCCAGACGGGTGTTCCAGTTTTTCGCATTGATTATAGTAAAAAGGTTCTAAGACAGAATTTAGCAACTACTACTACTATCCTCTTACAAAGAAGCAATCTAAGAAAATGGGTGCTGGAAGAGAATAGATTGCCGATAAAAGTTGTTCGCGATCATAGAGTTTATAATGAATTGATAGCGGGTTATTTACTCTAGAAGAGAGTGTAAAAATCATTACAAATAGTATTTCGCTGGCTGGTAATTTTTCGACTCTGCGCAAGATAAGGTATTATTCAAACGTTGTGAAAGCTGTTTCATCAGAATTCATCATCATCATCAAATGAGTTGCAAGGGGTTTACGGGGGAATATTTAGAAAAACAGGAAATTGTTCTTCATAATATTCCAACTATTTTTCAATTAACCATTAATAGAACAGGACAATAGCCCATGTACAATATAGGTCTTCAGTAAAAATAACAACCCAAAACAATTACTTATTAAGTTTAAAACTACCTAAGCAGAACTTGTTCAAACATAAGTAAAACATTCATTCGGGGATACGACATTTATGCTCATTATACAAGTAAATCCCCTTACTGTGATTCAAACCCTGGACTGAAACTACCGATATCTAAAATATTAATTTACTCTCAAAATAGGCAATGTTGATCTTAGTATTGACCATTGTTACCAATGGAGCATTAATAGATATCGTAATGATGTATGTAAGCACATATCCATAAATCGTTATTTAGCCAAAAGAACAAGCATCCAATATTATATTTTAGGTACTTGTCTGTCTCAAACCTTTTAATAAACTAACAATAACCAGCAACAGAAGTTACGAGATTTTGTCGCCAGAGTTTTTGTCAGAATAGAAATGTCTTCAGCAATAAAATTTTATTAGAGGGGTATTCCAAAACAAAAGCTGATAGTGCTTTTATGACGGGTCGTAATTTTTTGAAATAATGTGTGAATATAGACGTCACTTGTTTGTAATACGTTTATTGTCGATGCAATATCCGGGTTCCCTATTATATTTTTTATTTTTTTAAAGATACATTATTATCATCGTATTGTGTAACAATTTCCTATCTCACTAATAACATAAAACAACTACAATTTTCTATTTAATTCGGAAATCAATTTCATTAAATTTCTTGTATCAGTTTGGAAACCCTTAAAGTCGGAATTCTGAAAATATGCCATCTTGAAATAGTTCATAGTATGATTTAAATTACTTTGTGTAATTTGCATTTATGATAGATTCAATTGCTCGTATAAAGGCTTAGAACAACTTAGTTACCTACTTTTTTCTTCAATTCAGATCAATGTCGTTTTTAAAACCAATACAGTTTTACAATACTGGAGTCGTGACCAAAATAAAATGCTTTATTAAAATTATGAGACAATCGTTTTCTATAACTTTAACTTGACGGTCCTTGACCATTCCAGATACTTAACAAGGTCCAGTTACTTGCTCGATATAAAAAAATAGTCGCAACCTTTTTTTCCCTCAAAACATAATCCCGGCGGCGCGTGAGAGTGAAATATTGTTTTATTGTTGGCAATAAACGCTTTTTGGCTTAATAATTTTTTTATGATTTTATATCTTTACGATCTGTCGGACCTTCTTTGAAATAAAAAATAGGGACAGATCACCCTCATCAATCCTCATCACGAAATTTTGAAATTCACAAAGATATAATTGGATGCTAATCAGTCAGTAACTAAAGGTCATATAAATAATAATATGTGGTTTTATGGATATTTTAGATGTTTCTTTGGCGTACTCCACGTTATAAAGTAAATAACTGATATATTGATCATATTCGTATTCATATTGACAATTATTTTAAATCATAAAGTTATAATATTTCTCAAGTTTACCAGATGGCTAAGTTTGAATTAGTTTACATACGTCGCGTACGCAGATTTCAGTGATCGAGTTCGATTATGACATCAATAAACTTACGCTTCATATCGTATCTAGGTACAAAATCTCTTACCATCTAAGTTACAATATTTACATATTATTGTTTTAAGTCTCTCTCATTTCAATTTACTCCATACAGTACATTACTGTATTTAAATAAATTAAATTACATTCTGACTGATGAATAACAGTAAAATGTATCTACCTACATTCACATTACATTCTAAGCTTGAGTATATTAAAATTTTAGAAACCTCTTTAATTCTAATATTTTATCAAGAACATACCTTGAAAGGAGTATCCTGTAAAGTACGGCGTCATGTTCAACGTTGATACCGCCATTGACTTATGCTACAGATGAGAATGCAGAACTAACCGCTCCCAGCTACACCGAATCAGTCCGAGCACATGCAAAAGTCCAAGGGATCACAATATCAGTATTTCACTATCACAGGTTGCACGCAGACATAGTAGTACGTAAATGAAACTGCGTGTGTCTAATCCGTGTTACTTTGAAGACAGCTCAGTGGCCACTGACGTGTGATGTAAAGATGTATTTCGACTCTCAAGTGTAATCTTTCACAATCAACGGTCCAACAAAAAATGGTCAACCGGCCGCCTCCGCAGCCTTCGAGACCGCTTCACCTGGTCGCTTGTCTCTTTCTAACACCCAGCGTATGACACTGACTTTAGAGTCGCCGATCTCAAAATTTTCTATTAAAACGATGAGTTTTAAAGTGCAATGTGAATATTTAGACACTTCTTCAAATTCTGTTTTACACGCAGTGGTCGAGTCTGAAGCAGTTTCTGTATTTAAAATAATGTTTTCAAGTCTAAAGAACCGACCGGATTTAAGGTGCGCCTACGTTGAAAAGGGACAGCACGAAGGCTACAATCCGGTATCTTCAAAGTAAGGAGCGCTTACGTTAACAATGTGTGAGTCGCGCCTGAGTCGACGTGCCGTGACGAAAAACATGAGGCGTGTTGCCAGAACGATCTATGCCTACCACGGCCACTGATTGGTCGAAATTTGTTTGGGGCGGAGTCACCAAAGCACACTGAGGCAAACGAAACTCTGTGGTTGTATGAGTTAATTGCAATGCTGGTCTCTCTTGGAGTACACATTTTATACCAAATGTTGTATAATTTTTCAGCATTATAATATCCTGTTCATGTTGTACTAACAAAGAAATGTTTGACATGCAATGGAAAGTAGATTACATAGGTACACCCAGGTATTTGTTAAATGTAATTAATGTCATTAATATTTTCTGTAGTTCACTCAGTTATCACCTTTAGAAACTTGTTATAAGTAAAGATGACTTTGTAACTGTGAAACAATTGACAATTTGAACTACATACCGTAATTATTAATACCTATAGTTTATGTTTATTTCATAATTTACGATCAGTAAGTTTAATAAGTGGCAGGTAATATTTATTTTTCTTCTTATCTTTCAGAATATATTTTAGGTAACCAAAATACCTACATCAAGAAAGGATTATTTACAGTTATTCCCATATTAACCTTATTTTATGATGCGCAAGCGCTTAAAATAGGAATATTTGATTAAAACAAAAAGTAGAATACCCTAGCTCTACATAATAATAGGATATTTAGGATTTTCTCAAAACATTGATTAACAACTTGCATTATACTTATTATATGGATAAAACAATACATTATTAATAAGAATGGTATCCCATAAAACTTTGCTTTGTACATAGTAATAGAAGAGGCAGAGCTAGCATAATTAACAACAAAAAACACACCGCTTGGTGTTGAGAATGGTGTTAAAGTGGCAAAGGTAGCTGATGTTTGCTGCTTCGACTATCCTTACCTTGAGCCTGAACCCAAGTTTACTCTTTTGCAACCCCACAGACTGCATATCTACAGAACAATAGTAGTACCTAAGTACATGACTAGTCTTCTGCGAGGTGAAGATTACTTTACCAGACCGGCTCTTCAATATTATTAGTACTTACTATGTCCGTCTTTCTAGGTTTCGATATGTCTGAATATATCTGGAAACAGGTGTTTCAATCAAGTGATTATGGCGTCTTTACAAATGATGAAATAGTCAAATAAAATGAATATAATGAATAAATATGATTTCAATATTTTATTTTTAATTTAGTACCTATATAAAATTAAATAATTTTATAGCCAGCATTATCTTTCTTGCTACATTAAACATTGACTGAAAGCCGGCCAATTGCGAGTTGCGCACCCGCACGAATGGTTTCGTACCATTCTCTATATAACAACACTTTATTATAATATCGAGCAAAAAATCGCGCCTGTTATAGGTAAAGGAGCCCCTCTTTAATATTTATTTTCTTATAATTACTGCAAACTTTTTATAAGTTTTCTTGTTATCTATAAGCAAAGAGCTACATTCCATATTTTTAAAGTTTTTAGAGAAAGTACTTTCGGTGACGGGTAAAGGGTCAGGTCAATTTTCATAAATTTTCTTAAACAATGTTTAAGCTATTCAAAACATATTATTGAAATCTTCACATTATGACCTTTCATTTGATATATCAAGCGATATAGTTAGCTCCATTTCAATTTTTAATTCTAATTCACCCCCCAATTGTAACCCCCATATTCACCACCATCATCATAATCAGCCAATAGACGTAGGCCCCCTCTAGGGATTTTCAAACACAACGAACCTGCACTTTCCTCATATACAGTGGGTCCCCCCGACTCGCTTGATATCGTCAGTCCAGCTGGTGTGGGGTCTACCGACACTGCGCTTCCCCATATTTAGAATTTATTTTTTAGTTTATTTGTCCTTGTTTGAGTCACAGAGATATATACATGTACTATATGCACCAAATTTCAACTTGATTGGTCCAGTAGATTCCAAGCAAATTGACTGTAACAGACAGACAGTCAGACGACCAAATGATCCTTTAAGGGTTCCGTATTCGCTGATTGAGGTACGGAACCCTAAAAAAAGTCTGACTTTAAATATTGCAGAAACTTATTCATGGCTAGAGTTTTATGCAATATCGATTCAAAGCGAGAGTAGGTGGAGCAATAAAAGTACTTGTATTGTTTTAGTCAATTTTGCTTCTAATTAAAGTGAACGTGTCATTGGTTGAGTCCCAACTTAGAACCAAGGCTACTGTTTTGCAATGTGCGATGGACGGTAAATGTATCTACACACCGTGGATTAAATCAATTAATATTAAAAATGAGTAAATAAATTGGAGGAAAACTTTTAACAGGATTTTTTTATGAAGAAAGGTATCAGTCAACCACTTGCACGCTGGTGGTAATCGGTCACCATAACCTTTGGTTTAGACACTTCCGATACAAGAGTATCACTTGCGCGTTGCCTGCTCTGACCCCATCCTCTAACCTTTAGAGACCTAGAAGCCAATTTACTGTCAGAAACACAATGCTACCAAGAGGTAAGTAGTGTTTTTACTGTGGTCTTCTGTGGGGTAAAGGCTACTTCCCAGACTGGCTCTCAAATTCGAGCGGAAAATCCGCCAAGCCCAGCAGGGCTTATCCCGTCTGAGGTATATATTAGGAAATAAGAATTTATACAGATACCATTAATACAATAGCTTCTTCAATCAATAGAACATATTATATTGAAATAATAAAGAATGATTTTAATATGATATTACTGAGAGTGGCTGTTGTTGAATATGCTCTACATTTTTCTTGCTCATGAAACAAAATTGATAGACACAGGGTCTTGCAACTGTGGTTAAGTGATCAGCCTCTACAACAACTAAAATTCTTAAATGAAATTAAAAACAAATTCATGTTTAAACCTCATCTCTGATCGACCTTAAACAATTGACAAAGATGGATCTGATGTTATAAACAATATTAAACTTTTAGATTTGAGATTTTGTTGGTGTCAGTTGCTAAGGTCCTTAAATCCAACAAAAGCAAAATCTAGTCGTGATGTCGTGTTCTAGTTAAAGAATTGGTGAAAAAAAAACTGAAATATCATATAACTATTTGTTTCTTAGGTTTTCACGCACATCACTCATTAAATAAAACTAGTTTTTACGGGTTAATGCACGAAACTTTATTTATTTATTGACGTTTCGCAGCCTTTTCAGGTCTGCATCGTCAGAATAATGATTTTTTATTTAAAATTGTCGAGCTACCTTCGAAGACTTGAAAAGGCTGCGAAACGTCAATAAATAAATAAAGTTTCGTGCATTAACCCGTAAAAACTAGTTTTATATCATATAACTAACTTAAATTATATTCATATATGTATTCTTACACGCTTAATCATAAACAATGGATGTATAAATACCAAAATTTTAACATCAAATTTCATATCAACTTCTGTATACAAAGGAAACTAAAGAAGTAAATTAAAACTTAATATTCTCGCGTACCTACTTCTTGTAAGGCCCACAAACAAAAGATGTAGGGTTGGTACCAGTACCACGCTCAACAACAGGAACAATACTACACCCAAATGAACAGAAATCGTCGATTCATTAACACTACAACCTTGAATCGAGTTTCCAACATTTTAATTAAAAACGATCGCTTCGCCGGCTCTTGGCTTACAAAACCCTTAATTTGTTGTGGCCCGTTTTATACATAATCTTTTGCGGGAAATTTTGGCTCAATTAATGTTGATCGCATTTTAGATGTTGTCTTAATAAATGCTCTCTGATATTTGGCTAAGAGTTTCTTGTATCATGTACAGACAAACTCACTCAATTTTGAGGGACCGAGGAGGCCGACCAAGTTCTCGACCTAATGAAAATATTGCCTTTTGCAATCTAAAGTTCCCTTTATACTTATTTAGTTTATAAGTGCTTAATTAACAAGTTATGTGGAAGGAAGTTACAAAGGATTTACGTTTATCTTGTTTAATCTTACTTTGTGTTCCGTTTAATTTGTTCCGTGGTATCCGAAATTTTGTGTGCTTTATTTGATAACAATATACTTTCATTCTCAAGCTCAACTTAGGTTTAAGAGATTTACACTAAGATGTATACTGAAAAAACACCCCATTAACTTTAAATTTAACTAAGCTGTTCATACATTTAACGTACTATAAACATAAATAAGTAATTCGTCTGATATGCTTTTATTTTGCTATTCAATGATACAGAAAACTATTATCAATGACGCTCTTACCAAAACTATTACAAATACTTACTTTATTAAGTCAAGCTTTCTACTGAAAAAGTCCAGCATTTTATTACATACCTAAAGTTTTAAACGGTGTGGTTTAAAAAGGGAATAACAAATTAATTTTCTAGTCGAAATTCCTAATTTAATCTAATAACAACGGAACAGCATCCATCTGTTTTACTGAACACAGCAATTAGTTGCAGTTGACACCGCACGCGCCATTTGCAACGCACGCGTATGATGCGCCAGGAGCGCTGCGCATGCGACGCGACGCGCACAAAAAAGGCGTGAAAACGTGCGCTGAAATCGTTGCGCGCACGCTTCAGGGCTCATTGCGCGCCAAAGACGCCGCTGAAACTTCGCTGTGATGGGCCGCCCACGAAGCCGCAACTCTATTATTACTTGCCAAATGCCAAATGGCCTCGATAATTTCGCGGCATCCGTAGGTAGATAGATAGTTGGGCTAGATACACAACAGTTCCGCATAATGAAACAAGACTACGATTATGACATCTGCCAAAATGTTAGACTTGATTTGTGGAGGTTTCGCTTGATGGTTCGCTAATAATAATATTGACCACACAGAATTATTATGTGTCACCGTTGACATTTCTCAAGAATCGGAAATTGCGGCCCTGTTGGTCCGATTCATCTTAAATATATCCTTCAGTATATAGTCATATAGAACATAGTCATGTACCTTCCAATAACCTTCGTAGGTATATTTCTATTTAAGTTTAGTATTTAAGTAAAGTCCGGAAAACAATAGTGCGCGGTCGAATGG